TGTGGTTACCTTGGTTAGCAGTGTAATGCTCATTCACCTGGCAAGGAAGGCCACTCAAAGAGGACTTGGGGAACTTCAATGGCGAGGAATCGCTACTGTTCTGCTGACTGGTAGCTGTTCACATTGTATCTACCCTTCCTCTCGCCGTATACTTCGTAGGTTCGGCAATTACAAGTTCAACTCTTTTCCAAGTGGAGTTCCACAGATACGCACTCTACATAGCCCTTTTTGATACCATGGCAAACTTCTACATCTACACTATTGAACTCTCAGGAAGCTTAGAAGTTCTTGAATAGTCCCAAATCCGGTGTAAGTTTCCTCTCTTTCGGTTGGATCACGTGCTCTAAACGAAGACAGAACAATCACTACTGATGCAGAAGAAACTGAACGACAGAAACTTCTGACTTAGCTGGGAAGCAGGTCCCACTCCAGGTTTCAATAATTGTTTCCATGTCCATATATGTTATATTTTCTGAATACAATATACATGCGTTTTTGGGAATCTTATCTTCATTTACTCAATTGTGGTACATAATATCAAATTACGAACTATTTTCTTTAGCAAGATTTTTGTGTTGAGGACCTAAAAAGTTAAGTTTCAAACCAGTGATTTTCATGATTAACTCCGACATGATTGCTGGATTCATTAATTGTAATATTTCTGAAACACTCTAGATAGTGGTTCACCACAGACCACCTCCTGTTGATTAATTTGTATTTACACAGCTGTGGAAAAGAGGGAAAATATAAGTTAATCCTGTACCGTGGGCAAAATCCCCGCACGACAATTGGGACGTCCTCTAAGTTTCTCGATGTAAATCCGACTTTTATGACCCTAAATAACACTATTCACTCGAGTACACTATTTCACCAGTGGGGCATTTCTCGGAATCACCCCCGCTATAAATTATCTCAGCTTATAATTCTGATTGATATACAGAACTCGGGGCTTGAAGAACTGCACCGAGAGAATCAGGCTCGGGTATTCAGAAAAACAGGTCTTGCATAGATCAATTTATTCGCACCGTACTATTATCACAACAGCATTGAGTTTAATCTCCCCCTTTACATAAAGCTGACTTAAAAGCTGCATTCGATTCACTTAATCGGGAGTTTATATCTGGAAAACTTCAGTCATTATGGCTTTGCCGTGTAAATACATTCGCATAATGAAGCGATTCTTTTGCGGCACCGTCAGCGCTGTCAGACAGTAATGGCGAGCTCTCTGAGTGGTTTGACGTTACATCTGTTCTAGGCATGGGATATTCCCGTGTCCCCCTAAATCATTAATGTATTGCATCAACTCGCCTGCGCAGCGGCGAGAGATAAACAAAGTGAGTTGTCAACACGGGGCAGTGCTGCAGATGAGTTTTACCACCTTTGCTCTGGTCATGATACAGTCGTCCTGGATACTGACTATGCAGGATGATTTAGCTATCATGGACACCCCCTAGGACGGTCTCCAGAGTAGGAGCGACTGATCTTTTATGCAAGATCTCGATGCGGCTCAGGCTGGACTCCCCCCCTCAGAATCAATGCAAGAAACAGATGGTTATGGCCATCGGCAAGAATAACATCCACAGAGGGCCTGATACTGAAGCATCAACGGTGGACATTACAGTAGGAGACACGGCTATCCAGCACGTCAGCAACTTCACTTACCTTGGGTCATTATATTGAAAGTGATGGGACTATTGACCGGTACTTGTCTGCACGGATCCAGAAGAGCCTCAGTAGCATTCAATCAGCTTCGGTAATACTTTGGAAGAATCGCCATCTATCCAACTAACACCAAAATACGGATATATGTTGCATCGGTTCAAACAATATTTACTTTATGGAAGCGAAGTCTGGAACACTACTTCAAAGCAACTACAGCGCTTCGAAGTTTTCATCAAAACTGTTTGAGGAGAATCCTTCGAATTAAGTTGTCTTCCCACCGACGAGCAATGTTCAATGTTGGAGCGGGCAAGAATAAACCCGGATTATAACTACATCAGTGCCAACCCGTCTTCGCTGGTTTGAACATGTTTTCTAGAATGCCGGACACCGAGCAATCCAAAGTAATCTATATGATGGACACCTGCTCACGGCAGAAGATCACGTTGTGCGGCCAAGAAAGAATTGGCGAACCTGTGACCTAAAGACGCAGTAACATTAACAGGAGATCCAGACATTGTATTTGATAAGGTCCGAGCGTTGGCAGGAAACCGAAAGCCCTGGAGAGAGATGATACGACATAAGCGGCAATTCCTTGTGCAGGCCACTCGAAATGATTGAGGAGACCCTCATCAAGTAAATCAAGTAAGTAACAGAACTCAGCCATGAACCTAAATGTGCCTAAGATTGCTGATCTTATCTTAGTGCTATGAAACAAACTTAAGGCCTAAGAGACTTAGCTTTTGAGAAATCGCCAAATATCCGATTTTACTATACATATTAGCAGTCTCACGAGTAACTATTATCACACTTATTTCAAGGTATCTCAGCTTCTGATTGTAGCTAAGCGATCATCTAGGGCATTGAAATGGTCAGAGTCATCATGTTGAGTGAGGTAGAGGATCGGTTTTAAAGTTTTCAGACTTCAGGTTGTTGAGTTATTAGGTCAGACCCCATTTTTATTCTCTCACAGTTAGCGATTGATGTACTTAATTCAAATTAAGCTGAAAAGTATACATCCATGGAAACCTGCACAATATAGAATTATGTAAATCTGTTCACTCATTTAAGGAGGGTGATAATGATAGCGGCAGCTCGTTATTGAAATATTTGCAAAACAAGATGTAGCTTATTTACCTTCTTCAGATCTCTTTTAACTAGTAGTACTAGTAGTAACCGACTAATAATTACCATTAATATTTCGGATACTATGAACAATAGATTTAATTCGGGGTACGAAATTTGAGATTTTTATATTACAAACTTCTTAGCATTGAGACATGACAAAACTTTTAAATATTATCAAATCCCATTCTCAGGAAAATCAAGACAAGGATTTAATTCTAGGATCAAATTTTTGTTGAGTCAGCTATTCTCAATACCATTAATTATTTCCCAACTCCCAGAATTTCCATCTCAGGCAAGCACTCTGACTGGCGTCTCCAAGTAATCGTAATTTCCTACTCAATTTGTTAAAATATGGTTAATCAACCTAACCCGCGTGGAACGTACAAGGAACTGAAATTTAGTTCTACGAACTTCTTGGCATGAAAATTAGTAAAATATATATCACATCCTTTCTCATGGAATCTGGACCACGGATCAAATCAAGTAATTCAATTATTTTATTGCCAGTAAATTTTCATAAGAATTAATTAAATTGTATCTTTTCAGCTCCTCCCTCAGCCTAGCTGATTGAGCGATTGGTGTTTTACCCCAATTCTTTGATCTACCATTTATAAAATGGTTAACATTTCTCACGGGTATGCTGTATGCACGTGCACGGTCGTTTAGTTATTAGGTTATACCCCATTTTTACGCTCTCACGAGCCAGTCACTTTTGGATATAATAATTGTTGCTATTTAAAGTTACCAAATACATTATTTAAAGCAACGAAAAGTTCGCAATTTTGCTTTAAAAGTACGTTAAGTGCGTACAAACCAAATATGATGACTCTGACCTTTTCAATGCCAAAGATGATCGCTTAGCCGCAATCAGAAGCTGAGATATCTTGAAATAGTTGTGATGAATGTTACTCGTGAGACTGCTAAATAGTAAATCGAAATTTAGGCGATTTCTCAAAAACTTAGTTTCGTAAGGCCCTTAAGTATGTTCATAGCACTAATATAACCAAACATGCCATCTTAGCACATTTTTGGTTCATGTCAGAGTTTCTGTATCTCAATCAGAAACTGAAGATAATTGTTAGTGGGGGCGCGATATGGGGTGTCGGGTCAAAAAGAGTAACCCGAGTAATGGTGCTATTTAGGGTCATATAAGTCGGATAAAATCGAGAAACAAGCCGGACGTCCCCAACTGTGTGCGGGACTGTTGCCAGGTACATGATTAAATTAAATAAAATACTCGGAATAAAATTTTAATTTTGTAAAATTTGCACAAATCAAGTGTTATCAATAAATAGCTTAATTTTGCATTGTTTACTTTTGATGTTAAGATTTACTAATATTTTAATTTTGTTTACTAAGATGTATTGTTTATTTGATTTCACAGATTTTGACTTTTATCATTGATTGGTATTTTTGATAATAACATTTGATTTTGTTATTAAGATTTATAAATACTTTAATTTTTTTTACTAAGATGTATTGTTTATTTGATTTCGCAGCTTTTGATTATGTATCATTGATTGGTATTTTTGATAATAACATTAATTGCTTTATTGTTTCCCTTACATTGTCATTTTGACAGTGAAAAAAAACTTGTTCCATGAAATATTAACGACTAATTATAATTATACAGAGTTCAGATCTCGACTATTGAGGAACTATTATACCTATTTTTTGGGATCATTATTCATATCTTCTGTTATTCAATATTCATAGTGATTCATTGAAATTTAGTAAAGTGTTATTTAAAAAAATCCAATCTAAAGCTGACATTCACTTTAGATTTACTAACTCAATAACTTGATTAGAATATAATTCGCGAATTGCGGTACTAAAGAAATATGGAGTCAACGCGCAGAGAGTTAGGTTTTGCGGAGATGATATTGCGAAAGGGACGTCCGAAGAAAAAGAAAGTTCCGGTGATAAAGAAAAGTGAGGTAGAAGAGAAGTTACTGTTTGAAATGGGGATGAGGGAGGCGGCACAAAGACTGCTATCTTCTGCGTGCTGCCCCAATCCACCAACAAAGGGGGGAGGAACCGCGCCGCGCTAGTCATATTATTAAGTGTCATTTATTTGTTAGGCACTTTTTTAACATGGCCAGAACAGTTAAAGTCACTCTTTTAGTCTAATTCCCTTATAATAATAATAATTATTATTTAATTACTAAATAAACCGCAACTAAGTAATATTTAATTTATCACCTAATTAATCTCAATTACGCAGGTTAGACGCAGGTAAGACAATACTTACCTCCAACAGCAGAACACTAGCACTTATGACAGCACTACAAAAAGAACATGTTAAAGAAGTAGAGGATGCTCACGGTCTCACTGACTTGTAAGTTATTTTTAAAAGTTAACAATTTAGAAGTTTAATTTATTTTGTATCGCAGAAACAAGGCCTAGACAGCCAGCTTCGTATTCCTCTGCAGTTAACCACTGATAGCTAATTACTACAAACCGTTGGATTGATTATTCTGATTCTCCAAACATTGAGAAACTTCCTTGTCAGGAAAGACAAAGACGAGCTGCTGAGAGAGGAAATGATGGAATCAGTCTCACTAGCAGACGTGACAATCTCAAACATAATCGTGCCTCTGAAATGGTGCAGGATCGACCACAATAAGTACAAGACAGACTGCTGGAAGTACCAGGTGTTCTGTCTCATTAGGAGTGGGATACAGGTTCTAGATTGTTCCGAGCTGACCAAAGTGGACATTCTCACTGAGAATATCCAGCTTAAGGATACATTCGTTCTGTAAGTGCTCTTATTCTGAAGTTTTAGTAAGTCCGAACTGTATCATTTTTGCCAGATTATTTGATTGGAATAGTGTGTGGTGCTTAACGATAGCCCTCAGGGTTTTAAAATTGATTAATAAGTCTGCCCTGATCTGTATCAGGTAATTCGATGGTAGTTAAACCTCCTTAATTGCAGGAAGGATATGGGACCGGACTTTGTTATAGACCTTGAGTTTTACTACACCCAAACTGAAGATCCTGTAAAGAAGAAAGATAAGAAGAAGGTATGCTCCGCTCTTTGTTTCTATTGTTCTCGTTAATTTCAGTCGGCGGTTCATATTCCATGTCTTTTCGATGTAGAGATATTGCTTTTCCGTGTCTATCTGTGATGATTAATTAGCATTTCCCTTAAATATGTTACATATCTTGACATATTCAGATCATCAGGTCTCTAGTCCTTGCAAGATAATCTGTGATATCATATCCAAATACCTTACACGGCGATCTTACACCAATATTCGAAATTGCCTCCAAAATGTTGGAGTACTTTCAGGCGGGCGCGGCGTCATGTTTGTTAATGCATGTGCGCAAAGCACGCACGTACGTACGTAACGTACATTGCATACCATGACAGTTTATTTATTATATTTTTTATATTTCTTGATTCATTGCCATTCGACGAAAACAAAGCCTTCAAAATTTTGAATTTTGCTTCACAATCAATCAAACTGTCAGCAAATTCAATAAGTCGCACTATCAATTTACACTATCAGATTCAACTTAACTGAAAAGTTAAATTAGTTATTAAAATTTCTCAATTTCTTCTGTTTTCAGGCCGAACAAACAGAAGCACCCGCGTAAGTACTGGGTGTTAGTCAAAAATATTCAAACAAACCCTTGATTTATTTACTTTTTCTACATCACTACAGAGCACATCCTGCATGAAACATTACCTTATCACTTTTTCAAACAACTCTCTTCTATCTCCCTTCCTGACAGGCCTGTGTTTGCGATAGCAGCAACCGCCTCCCTCTCCCTAGCACACTGCAATATCTGGTCTCAGAAAGCAGTCCCTGAAGTCGGGTGCTAAAGGGCTACCAGCGCACATTACAGCCCCTACCTCTCTCCCTGACCTGCCTCCTCTACCTGTTCTCAACTTTTATAGAGCAGAGATAAACGTTACTCCTCATTTCACTTTGAAACCTTCAAAGGAAGGGTTCCTTGGTTAGTTTGACGGAATCCTGCAGTTCATGTGTTTCACGGAACTTATATTTTATCTAATTTAACAGGTCAAAACGTTTAAAACTATCTAAAAACACCGTGTGCACAGTGATCCTTCGCAGCGTTGCTCAGTGCCTCTGAGGCGTTATTGTGATAGATTAGCCACCGTATCATTAAAATTTCTGTTCCAGATGTCCAGCAAATGAGTCAAGGTATGCCTCACTGGGTAAAGTGTTGGTGCTCACTCCAAGGAATGTACTTGAAGTCATGGAAACAGCCAGAGGACCAATTCGTTTCAGAGCCGCTACTCATTATCGAGATTAACGAGGTAACTCATAAATGATATGCGTATTTCTAAACTTGCTACCGTTAGTTAGAATGAAAAACAAGCTTTTTCTGTAACGTTTTGAAATGAAAAAGATATCTGGATGGAAATCTAGTCAATGATTGAGAAATATTTCAGCACATGATGCTGGATCACGTACCAAGGACATCAGTTCAGCGACCCAACAATATCCACATTAGTTACTGCAAGGCACCCTATGTTGATCATTTCCTTAGTACCGACACAAAGGAGGATCGCATTCTTTGGGAGATCGGTTAGTTCATCTCAGTACAGGTCCTGTTTCCTGGAAAGTTGGATGTGTAAATGTTTAACTAATTGAGAGCACGTTTCCTTGATTCTTGTAGTGGATTTGAGTGCTTTTTTCACCACTGCAGTGCTTTTATGTTCCGGGGTAGGTGGAACATATTTTGGTTAAAAATGGTTCTGGCCTGTCCCTAACCATCATAAAAATCAAGTTTCGAACTCGCTCAATACTCTCAACCGCCCACTTCGGGGCGGCCACTCCCAGGGGCCACGCCCCTCCCAAAATGAACCGAATCCCAGCTAAAATCAAGACTTTAAAATCTTTAACCCCTGTAGTGCCATTTAATGTCCGGGTAGGTGGGACATGTTTTAATTAAAAATGGTTCTGCCTGTCCCAAACCATCATAAAAATTCAAGTTTCGACCTCTCAACCCACCCGGGCCACTCCCAGGGCCACGCCCATCCTAAAATTACAGAATTAATCTAAAATCTAGACTTTAAAATCTTTACCCCTGTAATGTTTTATGTTCCGGGGTAGGTGGAACATGTTTTAGATTAAAAATGGGTTCTGGCCTGTCCCAAACAATCAAAAAATCAGTTTTCGACCTCTCAACCCTCTCGGGCCACTCCAGGGGCCACGGCCCATCCAAAATGAGCGAAATCCAGCTAAAGTCCAGACGTTAAAATCTTTCCCCTCCTGTAGTGCTTTTATGTTCCGGATGGTGGACATGTTTTAAGATTAACAATGGGTTCTGCCTGTGCCCAAACCATCAAAAAAATCATGTTCGACGATCTCAACCCACAGCGGGCCACTCCCAAGGGCCACGCCCATCCAAAATGACCAAATCCAGCTAAATCCAGACTTTAAAAATCTTTACCCCTGTAGTGCTTTTTATGTTCTCGGGTAGTGGACATGTTTTAGATAAAAAATGGTCGTCTGCCAGTCCCAAACCATCATAAAAATCAAGTCTCGACCTCTCAACCACACGGGCCACTCCCAGGGGCCACGCCCATCCCAAAATGACCGAAATCCAGCTAAAATCCAGACTTTAAAACACATCGTTTTACCCCTGAGTGCTTTTTGTTTCCGGTGGGTGAGGTGGAACATTTTTAAGATTCAAAATGGTTTCAGCCTGACCCAAACCATCATAAAAATCAAGTTTTCGACCTCTCAAACGCCACTAGGCCACTCCCAGGGGCACGCCTCATCCAAAATGACCGAAATCAGCTAAATTAATCCCGACTTTAAAGATCTTTACCCACTGTAGTGCTACTTATGTTCCGGGGTAGGTGGACATGTTTTAGATTAATAATGTTTTGCTGTCCCAAACCACCAAAAAATCAAGTTTTTCACCTCTCAACCCACCCTAGCAAATCCCAGGCCACGCCCATCCAAAAATTACTGAAAATATGCTAAAATACAAGGACTTTAAATCATACCCTGTAGTGCTATTATGTTCCCTCCTGGGGTAGGAGGAACATGTTTTTAGTTTAAAAATGGGTTCTGACTGTCCCAAACCATCATAAAAATCAATTTCGTTACGCGACCTCTCAACCCACTCGGGCCCTCCCATGGGGCCATGCCCATGCCCAAAATGAACCGAAATCCATCTAAATCCAGACTTAAAAATCTTTACCCCTGTAGTCTGTAGTGCTATATGTTCCGGGGTAGGTGGGACATGTTTTTAGTTTTAAAATGTTCTACCTGTCCCCAAAACATCATAATAATCAAGTTTTCGCTCGACTCTTCAAACCCACTCAGGCAGGGCCACTCCCAGGGCCACTGCCCATCCCAAAATTTCCGAATCCAGCTACAATCACAGACTTTAAAATCTTTACCCCTGTAGTGCTTTTAGTTCCGGGTAGGTGGGACCTGTTCTAGTTTAAAAATGGGTTCTGCCTGTCCCCCAAACCATCATAAATAATCAAGTTTCGACCTCCTCAACCCACTCGGGCCACGCCCATACTAAAATGACCGAAATCCAGCTAAATCCAGACTTTTAAAATCTATTACCCCTGTAAGTGCTTTTATGTTCCGGGTAGGTGGAACATGTTTTAGATTACAATGGGTTCTCTTCCTGTCCCAAACCATCATAAAAATCAAGTTTTCAGGTCCGATCGACCTCTCAACCCACTCGGGCACTCCAGGGGCACGCCCACCCAAAATGACCGAAATCCAGCTAAAATCCAACATTAAAATCTTTACCTCCCTGTAGTGCTTTTATGTTCCGGGGTAGGTGGACATGTTTTAGATTAAAAATGGGTTTCTGCTGCCTGCCCCAAACCACATAAAAATCAAGTTTCGCGACCTCTCAACCCACTCGGGGCACTCCCAGGGGCCACGCCCATCCCAAAATGACCGAAATCCAGCTAAATCCAGACTTAAAAATCTTTGCCCCTGTAGTCTGTAGTGCTATATGTTCCGGGGTAGGTGGGACATGTTTTAGTTTTTAAATGGGTTCTACCTGTCCCAAACCATCATAATAATCAAGTTTCGACCTCTTCAACACCCACTCCTCAGATGCCACTCCCAGGGCCACGCCATTTCAAAATTAACCGAAATCCAGCTAAAATCCAGACTTTAAATAATCTTTTACACCCCTGATTGCTATTTATGTCCGGGGTAGGTGGGAACAAGTTTTAAAGATTAAAAATGGGTTCTGCCTGTCCAAAACCAACATAAAATCAAGTATCGACCTCTCAACCCACCCGGCCACTCCCAGGGGCCACGCCCCATCCTAACATTACTGCATATAATGCTAAAATCTAGACTTTAAAAGCATTTACCCCTGTAGTGCTTTTATGTTCCGGGGTAGGTGGAAATGTTTAGATTAAAAATGGGTTCATGCCTGTCCCAAACCATCATAAAAATCAGTTTCGACCACTCCACCCTCTCGGGCCACTCCCAGGGGCCAGCCCAACCCAACATGATGAAATCCCCCTACTAAGACCAGACTTTAAAAATCTTTTACCCCTGAAGTGCATTTATGTTCCGGGATAGGTGGACATGTTTAGATTAAAAATGGTTCTGCCTGCCCAACCATCATAAAAATCAAGTTTCACCTCTCAAAACCCACACGGGCCACTCCCCAAGGGCCACGCCCAACCCAAAATGACCGAAGATCTCATGCTAAATCCAGAACTTTAAATCTTTACCCCCCTGTATTGCTTTTATGTTCCGGGGTAGTGGAACAGTGCTTTAGATTAAAAATAGGTTCGTGCCTGTCCCAAACCATCCTAAAAATCAAGTTTCGACCTCTCAACCCACACGGTGCCACTCCCAGGGCCACGCCCGATCCCAAAATGACCGAAATCCAAGCTAAAATCCAACTTTAAAATCTTTACACCCCTGTAGTGCTTTTATTTTCGCGGTAGGTGGGACTTGTTTTAGATTAAAAATGGGTTTCAGCCTGTCCAAACCATCATAAAAATCAAGTTTCGACCTCTCAACCCACTCGGGCACACTCCCAGGGGCCTCGCCCTCCTAAAATACTGAAATTAATCTAAAATCTAGACTTTAAAATCTTTAACCCCTGTAGTGCTTTTATGTTGCCGGGTAGTGGGACATATTAGATAAAAATGGGTCTGCCGGTCCCATACCATCATAAAAATCAAGTCTCGAACCTCTTCAACCCACACGGGCCACTCCCATGGGCCCGCCCCTCCCAAAAAGACCGAATCCAGCTAAAATCCAGACTTAAAATCTTTAACCCTGTAGTGCTTTATGTTCCGGGTTAGGTGGAACATGATGTATATAAAAATTGGGTTATCTGCCTGTCCCAAACCATCATAAAAATCAAGTTTCCGACCACTCACCCACTCAGGGCCACGTCCAGGGGCCACGCCCAACCCAAATGACCGAAATCCAGCTAAAATCCAGACTTTAAAATCTTTACCACCCCTGTAGTGCTCTTATGTTCCGGGGTAGGTGGGACAGTTTTTAGATAAAAAATGGGTTTTTGCCTGTCCCAAAACCACCATAAAATAAAGTTTCGACCTCCAAAAACCCACTCGAGCCACTCCCAGGGCCACGCCCATCCTAAAATTACTGAAATTAATGCAAAAACTAGACTTTAAAATCTTTACCCCTGTAGGTGCTTTATGTTCCGGGTAGGTTGGAACATGTTTTAGGTTAAAAAATGGGTTCTGACTGTCCCAAACCATCATAAAAATCAAGTTTCGACCTCTCAACCCACTCGGCATCCAGGGCCATGCCCATCCCAAAAGACCGAAAACCACTAAATTCCAGACTTAAAAAAATCTTTACCCCTGAAGTCATATCGTGCTATATGTTTTCCGTATGTTGGACATGTTTTTAGTTTTAAAATGGGTTCTACCTGCCCCAAACCATCAAATAATCAAGTTTCAGAACTCTCAACCCACTCAGGCCACTCCCATGGGCCACGCCCCATCCCAAAATTACCGCAAATCCAGCTACAATCCAGACTTTAAAATCTTACCCATGTAGTGGGCCCCCCTTTTTTATGTTCCGGGGTAGGTGGGACATGTCTAGTTTAAAAATGGTCGCCTGGCCCAAAACCATCAAAATAATCAAGTTCGACACTCTCAACCACTCGGCCACGCCCATACCAAAATGACCGAAATCCACTAAATCCAGACTTAAAATCTTTACCCCTTGTAGTGCTTTAAGTTCCGGGGTAGTGAACATGTTTAGATTAAAAATGGGTTCAGCCTGTTCCCAGAACACATCATAAAAATCAAGTTTCGACCTCTCAAATCAAACCCACCTCGGTCCACTCCCAGGGCCACGCCATACCAAAATAGGACAGAAATCCAGCTAAAAATCCAGACTTTAAAATCGTTACCCCTGTAGGCTTTGATGTTCAGTGTAGGAGGGACATGATTTTAGATTAAAAATGGGTTCTGCTGTCCCAAACCATCATAAAAATCAAGTTTCGACCTCTCAACCCACGTCGGGGCCTCCCAGGGCCACGCCCATCACAAAATGACCGGAAATCCATCTAAATCCAGACTTTAAAAATCTTTGCC